TCCAATCATAGCAACCAGATTTAGAATTTCTTCTTCATCACTATCTGATTCGTCTTCCATGCTTATCATTGATTTCTCTTTGCGATTCACACAATTGTCTTGAGTATGACCAACTCCTTTGCATAGAACACACTTAGCCTCCCGAAGCTTGATGGTTGGACATTCTCGAGCAAAATGTCCCATTCCCTTACACTCATGACACTACATCTCAGATTTCTTAGATCCTTTGGTTTCTTCAGAATATCTTCTGAAATTTGTTCGTTTCTGTCCTGATCCTTGACCTTGTTCATACTTCTTTAGAGCACGATCAAACCTTCTAACAAGAAGTCCAACTGGATCGTCATCCTCTGTCTGAGTCAGGTCTTCTTTAGCAGCTAGAGCAATTCCTTTTGTTTTCTTTACCCCTCCTAGTTCCAATTCATGTGCTTGCAGCATCCCAACAACTTCTGCAAAACTAAGATCCTCTGTCTTATGTGAAACTGTTAGAGCAGTTTTGTATGCCATGAATCTAGCAGGTAGACATCTTAGGAATTTCTTCACCAGTTTCTGATCTTTGTATTTCTTTCCAAGTGTTACTGCTTCTTGTGCTAGAGTGCTCAATTTTGAAGTAAAGTCTGAGATTGACTCATATTCTTCCATCTTGAGATTTTCAAAACGTGAAGCTAACATGTCTTTTCTTGAGTTTTGAACTTTAGAGGTTCCCTCATAGTGTGCTTGTAAGAGATCCCAGGCCTCCTTCGCTGTCTCACATCCTTGTATTAATTCAAACTGCTTTCTTCCAACACTACAATGTATTGCCGTGAGAGCTCTTGAATTATACTTGGATTTTTTTTTGTTCTTCATCAGTCCAATCACTTTCTGGTTTTGGTATCTTATCTCCTTCGTCATTGGTGATAGTCGGTTCGACCCACTTTTCCAGAACAGCCTTCCATGCTAAACGGTCGATACCTCCAATGATCGATTTGATTCTGGATTTCCAAAAACCATAGTTGCCATCATCCAAGATAACCTTGTTACTATTGACTAGATCTCCGTAACTCTCCATTGTGTCCTCAAGATCTCACCTGTAGTATATCGAACAAGTGTTGCTCTGATACCAATTGAAAAAGCAAGAGTCTTACGAATTGAACTAGATCAAAATAGTAAAAACTGGGTTTCTCAAAACGCTATCTTTGATATATAGAAATTCTGTTTACAATGGGTTTTTCCCTAAACAAATTCCTAATCTCTCAAAGACCTTCTTTCTAAGATCATACACTTGATCTTAGAATCACTCAAAGAAACCTTATGCACTCGATAAGCTCTCAACTCTCTTTTCTCTCAAGTTAAAGCTTATTGCAAGATCTCTTTCTCTTAATTGTGCCAAGCTTTCTTCAAGCCTTGGCTCCCTATTTATAGAACTAGGACATCTCCATACAACAGGAAATTCCTATTCCACTTCTAAATAGGCTTTAAGATATTTTCCTTTTTCTTTATGGATTAGGAAATTATCCAACTCTTCTAATTTACTTTTATTCTTATAAAAGTAAAGTCTTCACGCTTCTAGATGCTTCTAGACACTTCTTCTTTGTCTTATGCCCAAGCCAAACCGCCTTTCTTCACTTTCCTTCTTTGTTGTTTCTTCTTTCGTTAAGTCTTCTGAACTAGTCGCTGCACTAGTACACTCTGTTGTTCAGACTGCATCTTCACTAATAACTCAATTGGTAAAGATCTCTGGCAAAAGTTTAAAGGTCGCCGGTTCGAGTAGTGTTTGGGACGAGACCATATAACATGTTCTGGTCTCAGACCTGAAGGGATGTATGAGCTTTGGCCCATAACCTCTTTGATTATTCAAAAAAAAAAATTATATATACAAACCTATACTTTCATATTCTATACTCTTTTTCTTTTGATGAAACCTACTTCGATAAGTTGTAAAAAGTTATTGCAAAGACATACAATACATAACTATTGTAAATTTGGAACAATGTTATTACATACATAGACATATGTGTCATACACTAGGAAAAAGTTAATAATACCTTCCCATATAATTAAAACAGATTACGCTACTCCATTCCGAGTTAGAAACACTCGTATTGACGATGAAGAGGTTGGGGGAAATAGCGAAAATCAACCCAGACTATTTGCTGGCAAAATACCCAAACTTTGATACCCGACAAATAGCAACCTAAACTCAAAAAAAAAAAAATTCAAATTCTCAACCTAAACTATATGAAATCAGCCAAAATCAACATATACCGAAACGGTGTTACTTAACCATTTAACAACGATGAGTCAGCCGACACTGCGACAATGACAAAACATCAGAGTTAAGTAATATGAGGTCGTTTTGTGAGTTTTGGGTTCCTGAATCAAAGAACTACTAAAGCAAACACTCATCGAATCTTTAATTCGAGACCCTAAACTCACGAAACGACGTCGTTTTACTCAACTTTGATGTCCTGTCATTGCCACGATGTCGGCTGACTCATAGCCGTTAAGTGGTTAACTAACACCGTTTCGGTAAAATGTTAATTTTGGCTGGTTTTATATAATTTAGGTAGGAATTTAAATTTTGTGCGAGTTTAGGTTACTATTTATCGGGTATCGCAGTTTGGATTGTTTAGAACTTCTTGCGATAATTTCGGACAATGAAGATTGGCACATTTGCATCCTTGAGAAACTCACTTATCTTCGAGATCGTTTTATTGATTTTAATATTAGACATATTTCTCGAGATTTTAATATATGTACCGACAAATTTGTGAAATGTGCAAGGGCACAATTTTTTTTTGCTGTAAGTATGTTTGTATCCATTTTATTTTCTCACAGAAAAAAGTCACTTACGATAGATTAGTATATAAGTTTGTAGTAAACAAAAGGAAAGAAAAAAGAAAGATAAAAAGAAGAATTTGTAATATCCAATTTCGATGTAGTGATGGAAGAAGAATCATTCATTTTTGGTTGGACAATTTGGTTTGTGTCACATAGCTGGAAAATATGGCTCTATAATTAATGTTTGGTATTTGCTGTGATGATACGATCTTAGACGCATTTTGGAGGTCAGAAAATATGTGAGTTAGTTACTCATATAGTCATATGTATCATACATAATGTATGTTATATATACGTCAATTGATACACATCAAGAAATGTCTCATAGTCATACCATCGAAAGAGAGGTGTTGTTAATTGCATATCTATAACACCCCGGTTGTCAACTCTCCCAATAGTTCATGTTCATTTTCAGTCCATGAACCCACTTTTTTAACGGGTGTTACATCTTCTCACTAAATCCGTGAGCCCACCCATATCCGTCGACCGGTTTGCTACGTCCGGAAAACTTAAAGATTTGTTTACCAAATAAAGATTAAGAACCACAATTAGATTTTTATATAATTAACTTTGTGATTTTTTTAACATAGCATATATACATCTATGAGTGGAACTTGCTTCACATCAAAATTTTATATTTTAACAAAATCAACCCGAAAAGAATCATTAAGTAAAAATATGTATTATAATTAAATACGATAACTTTTAAGTTTAACTATAGAGGATATATCATCCAAACTAATTTTTTATTAATCTTATATTGAGTGCATACAAATATAAATGTTATTTAATATTAAGAAAAGTATATATATATATATATATTAATTTTAAATAAAAATATAACTTAATTCAATCTATACAACTTTTTAAATAATCTTTTTATTTTTCTAAAGCAGATTTATATTTTCTTATAGTTTTATATTATTTTAAAATTGCTAAATTATATCATATATATAGCATATATGGTATAGATAATAAAACAAACAATGCCACCCATAACACAATTCACAACAATTATATAAATTAATTCAATAATAAACTTTATTAAAATTTAAATAACACATATCATCCGGTGTAATGGCCAATGCAATGCATGGTGTTATTGATTGACAGAAGAATCATGGTTTTACCATTTGACTAAAGAATCACACTAAAAAAAAAAAAACTAGACGTTGGACCAATGAGTCATATTTTATACTATCTTGTTTCTCGTCATATTGATTAGGTCTATTCAAAATATGTTTTCTACTCTTCATTATCATATGTGATTTTAACACTATCTAATCTTTGTATCTTTTGCACAGTTATGGTCGTTTCAAGACTTTGAATCATAACATACATTTTATCTTGATATCATATACATATATAATACATATATAATACATATATATATATATATATATATTTGATTATTCTTTATTTTTTATATATAAATAGAATCAAACAAAGATGAGAGAGGGAAAAATAATGAAAACATTAAAGAGAATTTTTGAGGTTTTAATTTTAAGTAATAACTACTAGCTAGTGGGAAACTCAATCCAGATACATATAAAGTTTTAAATGGTATTAAAACATTTTTACAATGTTTTTAAAAGGTTTAGAAGGTTCTTTAAAATGTTTTAAAAAGAGTTTTATTTTTTAGATGTATTTATATGGTATTTATAATATATATATATATATATATATATATAAATTATACATACATTTATAAGTTTACTCACTTATTTGGATACATTTCAACATTTTTGTTTTTTGATAAAATTTGAAAGAAGGGGTATTTTGAAATTCTCCCAAAATTTAATAGGATATAATTCAATCTAATTTTTTTCTTATTTAATTTGATTGATTATTCATTTTTTGGGGTTAATTATTAGTATCAAAAAGTAATTAAGCTGTTGAGATTTGTCTTAGATGATTTTACTCTAAATGTATTTTTTTTTTTGGTTTCATTAAATTCATATTCATATTTAACATATTTATATAATTCAAAATAAAAAATACAGTATGATTTTTCAATTAATAGTATTAAGTATGATAATTTACACCTTTTTTTTCTTACGAAAAGAACACATGTGTCGTCCCCATACAAACCATACATAACCCAACATTTATAAAATCTAAGATATAATTTTTACCACACTTACAAATTCTTATAAGTTCAAGATTTGCTTTCTTCGATCTTTAACCTTGAAATCTATAGTCACATTGCTGCCTCCGGTAACTCAATCTAGCCATTATCTTTAGTGTTACTTTTTGATCAGAGACTCTAGTTTTGTTTAGATTGATCTTAACGTATGTATGTGAATTTGAGAGATACATAGTATTTTTACATATTTAGATTCATGTTTTTCTAAAATATTATCAATGTGTGCTTGTAAAATCATAATCTTACATGAGTGTGTTTCATCACAACAGGTGATACTATGAGATGCCCTTGGTCTAAGAATCCGGCTCCTTTCATATGGTGTGCACTCTTCATAAGTATAGAATTGCTTATCGTTGTTGTCTCGATTTGTCTAATACTATTCACATGCTTCAATATCGTTGACCCGAGGATCCCCAACATAAGCGTCGTGGATGGTCACCTCGATTCCTTTAGGTAAGTACAGTTTCCACTATTCTTCTCTCTAGTAAGTAAAAGATGAGAAATATCGATTCGGAGAGAGATAGGTTATGTTTTTAAACCCGACCCGGATGATGAACCGGACTATTTTCTGGATCACCGGGTATTCGGGTTGACCGGGTTTGACCACGGATCAATTAATTAAAATTTATTTATATATTATATTATCTTTAGGAAATATCATAGCATATATAACAAAATATAAAGTGTACTAACAATAATAATAAAGTGACTAAAAGTTTCAAATCCTTAAAAAATAATAAAAAGAACAAAAACACACTAATAAAACATCACAAATAAAAACATGAACAATTAGCAGTATATATTTAATATCAAATAACCATGAATTTTCAAAATAAAAAATAGAAAAAATTATGCTCAACTACGAAAGATGATGTGTTGTGTCATGTGTCTTTGATTGAGAAGGTTTAAAAGAGTTTTAAGATAATTAAAATCATAGATTTTATTTTTAATTATTTTTCAAAATCATAATTTAATTTTTTTGACCCGAGACCCGGTTAACTGGTTGAACCAACCGGGTCGCGGGTTAATAGCGGTTTTTTTTTGGGTTTTTGCGATTTTGAGATTGCTAGATTTTAGCACTAAACCCAAACCGAAGAAATAGCCGGGACGCAGGTTAATCGGTTGGACCGGCGGGTCCGGTCTGGACGTGAAAACACTACTTTTAGGACTGCATATAATACGATGCGATAGTTCATGAGGGAAAATATGACGTTTACCCATCTTTTAAATATATTTGTTTATTTTATTTTATTTTATTGCCTAGGTATGACATAGAAGGAGTAATGCATACAAACATATCAATATCAATCGAAGTTCATAGCACTGATGCAAACACTAAGAAAGTGCATGCTGAAGCATACTATGGAATAAGCTATGAAGGCCAACCAATCATAGATTTAGGAATTGGTGAGTTTGAAGCTGAAAAAGAGAAACCAATGGTTCTTTCATTCTTGTCTCCGGTTATGGTAAATCTAAATCCACCACAAAGGCAAGTAATGGAGTTTCAGCTTAAAAGAAATTTGATCAAGTTCGAGATCAGAGGTGCATCAAAGACTTGGTGGCAATTTGGATTACTACGAGTAGTGAAGATGAAGTCTTCACTTGGCTGTGAGCTTAAGTTTACACCGTCTAATGGTAGCTATGTCCCGTCTCCTTGTACTTCTACTCGTAGGCCAGTACGTTTTGCAATCAGCAAACTTTAAAAGTGATATAAAATTATATAATGAGTTCTATTTGTATTTTGTAATACAAAATAATTAACTACTTTTCATTTTTATAAAATAGAATCAAAGAAAGATGGGAAGGAGAATATAATGATAAAAAGTAATTTATATAATAGACATATTTAAAATTATTATGAGTGGTTTAGGTTTGTGTAAGAATTTATCCGGGAAAATGGCGAAAATCAAGCCAAACTATTTTCTTTCAGTTTTTTATACCTAAATTACGGTACGTGGCAAATACCAAGTTAACTTCACTAAAAAATTCAAATTGTCAATATAAACTATATGAAATTAGCCAAAATCTACATGTGCCGAGACGGTGGTTATGAACCGCTTAACGGCGATGAGTCAGCTGACACTGTGATATTGACGGTGCATCGAAGTTGAGTAAAATGACGTCATTCAGTGAGATAACATGCACCTCGCCAATGGGAAGAAGTGCATGTTATCTCACGAAAAGACGTCGTTTTACTCAACTTCGATGCCCCCCGTCATTGCCACAATATTGGCTGATTCATCGCCATTAAGCAGTTCACTAACACAATTTCAACACTAGTCGATTTTAGCTAATTTCATATATTTTATGCTTAGATTTTAAATTTTTAGTCTTTTTTATTTTTTTTTCTCAAATTATTTTCTGGTTGGATTTGTCTAATTGTTCTAATACAATATGTAAAATTTATAGTTGATATTTGCATCTCATATGAACTAACAAAGTTTGAAATGAAAGTCCACAAGTCCCATTACATAGATGATCAAAATGTCCATATTAAAAGAACAAGGAAGAGAGAAATGGTAACTAACGTTGAAAGAATGTTATGTACACACAAAAATTCATATCTTAGATTCCCCGAAATTGGTAGGGATACAAGAACCATGATACAACATTTATATAATAAGTTACATGTATGGTTGGTTGGAGTCAAAAACAACTTTGCATTGCCGATGTTGAACAGCAAGAATCCAGTTTAAGCTGGATCGGTTTCAGTTTCAGGTTCAGGATCAGGTTCTTTACACATGCAATCAGGCATCGGAAACGTGTAGAGTGATGCAGCAGGTTTCCTTAGTTCGATACCTTTCGCGTCATTGTGTCTAAGCATATCTTGCATTTGTTTCTTGAAGTAGTCCCATCTACAAGTTCAAAAAAAAACCATCCCAACCAAAGAAAATGCTTAATAGAGTCGATAAAACGAGTTTGAGGAATGTGAGGAATAAGCGAATCAAGTACCTGATGCTCGGTTTATCTAAGAGCTGGACTAGTTTCCGCTTATCAGGTTTGATTGTCTCGGCGTGGCCTTTGTAAAGGTAACGACGATGACCTATCAAGAAATGAGGGAAGTTTCCACCTTGTGTGGATACAAACACTTCACTGTGGAGGCATACTGTGTAGTCAAGTGCAGCTAATCTTGATGAGTGTCCCTAAAGTTTTCACAAAACCAGCAATTTCTTTATTTCATAAAGTTACCTTTACAGTGAAATGGAATATTAGTTAAAACAGTCAAAATCTTTCTATTTCCAAGGGCTTATCATGGGAGAGCCCACAGGTTTTATGAGCATTAACTGTAAGATCCAATTTTTTTTTTACTTTATGTTGTCAATGATAGCAATTGATATGAACCTAACGATCCTAACCTAATAATAGAATCATTCTGATTCCCACCAATCAATGGACAAAGTCACAAAGATATCTCTTTCCTATAAACACTGTTTCTAAAAAAGACAGAACATTATAAGCTATCATATAACCATTTAAGATTCTCACCTAACTCTTGACATCAATGTTCCCCCATCATTATTTGTTTAAAATGTGAGACATTTTTTTAATCAATTAAAATGAACCAACCAAATTTAATCCAATTTCTCACGAGAACAGTTTATAGAGTGAGGAGAATGAAACTATTCATGAAACAACCAAACTCTATCCTATTTCTCATAGCATCTTAAGTCCTAATGAGCAGAGAAATTGGTGTTTGGTTTACCTTGAATGGAGCTAGCTCTTCTGTAGTGGCAAGGGTATCTTTGGTTTGGAGAAGAGGAAACATCTGCCTAAGAGGAGCCATATATTTGTCAGCTTTGTAAATGTTTCCCGCAGCAACATAAACCAAGGTGTTATTGTTAAAACCCATGCCCCTAAGCATCATTCCGACCTACAGAGTGATATTACCTAAATGTGGTCAGTTCCATAAGTGTTTATCCCGAGAGTCAAATTCTGATTTAAATTTACTGGATGACTCAGTCATTGGGAGGCGGGAGGGTTTTTCAGTGATACCTCTAGTGGGGTTAAAGGGCATTTTCCATCTATGCGGTTTGCACCAGGCCTTATTACTCTGCCTCTCCTCCTAAACTTTCCTTTCCACCCTCTTTCCCGGGCCAAGTCCATTTCTAGCTTCTCTGCTTCCCCAAAGTCATATTCGCAACACGAGAAGGCTACCATGTCCTTTAGAGGAGAAGAAAATCGATATTATGGAGGGACGGAAGTAGGAAATAGGAATTGCAGAAATGGAGAATTGGCTGGAATTTATATACCATTTCAAAACGGAGATGAACAGAAACATATTTTCCTCCGCTCTGAACACTCTTTGTAACCATCCTATCGACCATTTTCTCCGCAAGCAGCCGAATGGGCTCTGCAAATCTCAATGCTTCAAAATTTGCTAAGCATCTGAGCCCCTGAATGTTTGCAGGAACTGCATGAGCTAACCTATTGGAGAATGGTGCAACACGGACAGCCCTAATGAAAAAAAGAAAACAGGAAGCAAAATTGAGTAAGAAAACTTTGCAGAGTGTGTTTAGGTCCCAGTTTTTTTTCAATTCAAGAAGCAACCTCATAGTAGGCATAGAAACCAAAATCACAGCACAGAGCTCGGCTAAGAACAGTCTATAGTATCATATACTAATCCTCAGACACACATAGAGGTTCGACGCAGTACTCACCTTAACAAACAAGCTAATTAAGATCGGATGCTAGTTCTCTACCTTACTACCAATCCATTTCATCTTTCCATGTACGCTATCTCATATTCAATTCAACAAGATATTATTAAGTAGACAGAAATGCTAGAACAATCACACTGAGAAACCATTTCTATTAAGACTGAAACAACTAAATCGAAAAAAGAAAATGTCAGTGAATGGCATACCCTAAACGCAAAAGTTGTGGTAGCACCTTCTGAAGATAGTATGCTGGACTTGACCAAGCTTTTAATCTCAAATTAACAATGCTGCTTATATTGTAGTTATACCGCTCAAGTACTTCTTTAGGCAGCTCTTTCACAACTTTCACATTCTTACTTAGAGCATATATGAAGAAGTCTTCATCAAATATATCACCAAATTTGCTGTCACCAACACAAAAACGGATGAATATGTAAGCAAATCATGCTGCCAACGAAAGAAAGTTGGCACGGAAGTTTCTGTTATAGAATCTATTCTATGACAATATGTGATGAAACATTCAAAGACTGCATAACCAGAATCCAAAAATAGTAACCTGGAATCACGCCAAACACTATTTAAGTGAAAAATCGGTATGACAAGGGTCGCATTAAGCAATCCAGCCACAGCAACTGCATCACATATCTGAAATCACAACTCTCTAAATCAACAAAACAACTACACAATCATACACTAATGTCAATTCAAAAGCCACAGAGAGTAAAACATACTGACAAGCGTTGTTGATTCAATCCACCATTAGCTTCAATTATAAAGTAACCATTAGAATCTGATCCAGCAGCAGAAACATTAGTGCTAATACACGGCTTCCATAAACTCTTAACTCTCGGCTTCCAAGCTGCCATCAACTACAAAAAAAAACCAAAAACCAAACTCAGTTCAACTTCAAATCCTCACAAATCAATTCAATTCAACTCAAATCCTCACAAATCAATTCAATTCAACTCAAAATCCTCACAAATCAATTCAATTCAATTCACAACATTACCGCATTATGACTACTTCCATTAACATCACTCTCCATAACATTCCAAAGCCGTTTAAAAACCTTAGGACTCCTATACACAGAACCAGGAGCACCACCACCACCACCACCACCACCACCACGTCTATAAACAATCTCAACACCATGACCTAGATCGAGCACAGTAAACCCAAAAGACCCCATAAATAGCAACATCCCAGCTATATAAAGCAGAGGCGCTAACAACAACACACCTTTCCTCCTAAACACTAGAGAGAATAGCGAAAACACAAGCTTCTCTCCTAATCCTTGCTTGTAAACTAGAGTTTTCACTCTACTATGACGAATCCGTGGCGACGATGGTGGTGATGGTGAAGAGAGATTGATGATTCGTCCGTTGTTGTTGTTGTTGCTGACGCCGTTACCTAGACGGCTAAGGCCGTGCATGATTTGAAAATCGATTTGGTTTTTTTTAGCTAAACCCTAGATTTGGAAAGAGATGATTGTAGTAGTAGTAGTGGGAGTAGTAGCATTGTGTGGTAAGGTTTGATGTTAGAGATGGAAACTAAAACGAATTTAATTTTTAGAAAGAAGGAAAGAAAAATTTTCCCGAGAAAATCAGAGAGAAAAGGAGAGAAAGAGAAAGAGTGTTTTTATATTTTTTGAGTCTTTTTGAGAAATTAAACGTAAGCACGTGAAGAAAGCAGTAATGGTGAGAGTGGCGCGTGAGATTTAGGATTATTATTATTATTATTATTATTTAATTTGGTGATAAATGAAGGTGGCCACTAACGACTTTATCCTTGCGCCAAAAAAAAAAAAAGTGATACGGTTTTATTGGTAGTTGATGGATTTATTTATTATTTTACAAATATATAGATAGTCTTATTTGTAATTTAATGGAGAATTTGAGGTGAAAAATATATATATTTAATTTTTTTTGATATGTGAAAAGAAATTTAGATGAATTTTTTTTCTTGTTATGTGATAAGATCAAATTAAAAATTTTAAATACATAAAAACAATAAATGAAATAAAATTGTATTTTAGATAATACTTATCAATCATGAAGTAAAGAAGGTGTTATAACACAGCGGTTACAAGTCAAATAAAAAAAAGTTCGATGGAAAATGGAAGTCTTTTGTCTCAGTAAGTTAGTGATTAAGCGTTTGATTTTTAAATGGTAAATTTATTAATATTTTACTCGGATTCAACTAATTTTTGTTGTATTTGAAAAATGTTAATATAGTTAATTTTAAAATTGAACACATATATAATGTACAACTTCTAAACAATTAATCACTGAGGCAAGTGATTTCCATCCATTTACTATATGTATTTTTTTTTGTAAGAATTTACTATATGTATTTGAGCTATACATTTAAAAACTCCTAAAGTTAATAATATCTTACTAAAATTACAAATATCTATATTAACATTTTGAAGTACTTTTTGTGTTCTACCTTTTTATTTTGTAATATTTTCATGATTAAACTCTTACCATTTGATTAAATAGAAAAAGTTTAAGATAAATTTTGTAATTCAATCATAATAAAATTCCAAAATTAGAAATCAATAGTTATTACGTTTAACAAAATTTCTTAAAATCTCTCTCTAATAAATCAAATATCTTTCCAACATTTTTATATGATCTTATTTGTTTTTAAATTTATATTATTACACAAAGAGAAAATTGTGGATAATGACATGAACAGTGGCAAAAATTCTTTAGAATGCCATTTTTCACAACTTCTTTCAAAACATGCCATAGAGGCAATGTAAAAAGACTATCTTATCCCTCTACTCAATGAAAATCTCAAAACACAATTATTTTCTTTTCTTTCATTATCTCTCTTCTTCTTCATCTTCATCTTTTTTTTTTCTTATTCCAACAACAAACAATATCGACGGACCAAATCCGACGAACGAACTCCGACGGACCATATCCGACGGGACGAACTCTGACGGACCAGATCCGGCGGACCATAGCCAATTCCGGTGAACTATAATCAGTTCCGTAGACCAGTTTCGGCAGACCAGATTCGACGGACCAGTTCCGACAGACCATAACTCCAGTAGACGAGTTCCGGCAGACCACAGTCAGTTCTGGTGAATTATAACCAGTTCTGACAGACCAGATTCGACGGACCAGTTTCGACCAACTAGAAAGACGAGTTCCGATAGACGAGATTTGGCGGACCATAGTCAGTTCCGACGAACTTTAACCAGTTCCGGTAGAGCAGATTCGGCGGACCAGATAGACCAGTTCCGACATACGAGATCCGATGGACCAGATCTGATGGACCCGAATCGGTAGACCAAACTTGTCTATCCTACAAATCTCTTGAAACCACAAATAATTGAGTAGAAGATGAAACAAGTGATGCATATATGTAAGATATCCATCAAAGATCTATCTAGATGTACACTTTGGATCACACATGTGTGTAGATGGACTAAAACCGGTGGACTAGATCTGGTGGACCAGATTCGATGTCTGTAATATGTCCATTTTTGTTTCCTAATTTGTTGTCCATCATACATATATAGCTTTGAAAGATGTTTCTGGCACGTTTTGAAAGATGTTTGTGTCCAAAACTCACTCAACAATGTTGAGGGCAAAATCGTCCAAGCTTCCCCCTTTGTGTCACGTTTTGAAAGATGTTTTTCATAATGGCATAATAACAATTTTGAGTTTCAAAAATGGCATAGCCCACAAAATTCTCTTACATAAACATATATATACTAAAAATATTTTTTTTTTTGCATATGTTGCAATTTGAATTTTTAGAAACAGTTGTATATTACTCAAACGATACAAAAAATGAATGTACTAAACTATTATTGATAATTGTGTAGCACGGATCATGTGATAGAACATGTTATAATTTATATAATTATGATTATAAATATTTTTACGGGTTGTCTACTATAGTATAACTCACAAAATATTTTAATATAAAATTATACTATGTAAACGAATATTATGTCAATATCATTTCATTATTTTAAATATTATACTTATTAAATTAATTTGATCAAATTACGATTATATAAAAAATAAATTATCATCTACCGGTTAAATCATAGAATTAACAATCAAAATATAGTAGTACACTCTTATATTCTTATATACCAAACAAAATTAATAAAAAATACATTTTATAATGTCGTCCCGCGGTGTACCGCAGGTTAAAATCTAGTATACTTTATAATTTTGAAATTTTCTTCTAAGAAAAAATACAAATAAATATGACATGCTTAAGGTGTAAAACTTAGCGTAAAAAATACAGTAAATTCCTAAAATGTTTGGATGGATATTACTTAATTTAACAAGAAATTTTATTCAACTTGTGTATGGTCTAAAAACTAATTATGCCATGAACATCTAAAGTTCATTAGTGTCAAATATAATAGTAAATATCTTAAATGTATTGATGGGTATTACTTAATTTATGAAGATATTTTGTTTGACTATTGTATGATTGAAAATTATAAGGAAAGGTGATTATTACAGTGCAACATAATTAAATGTCTTACTATAAATAAAGTCTAAACCTTAATTAACTAGGTACAACTATGTATATATGTGTGTTTAAACACTTTCATCTAATGATTTGAGACATATTACAAGAAAAGGTGATTATATATGCCAAATGACTTCTCTTCAAATCTTGTTCCAATTACTAATATCTCAATAATATTTGTATATATAAGAAAAATCTAATGATCTCATTTCAGTTTACAGGCTCAAGATGAAATTGGGGTGTCCACTTCTCGTGATGTTATCATGCTATATTCTATGTTGTAGCCTTCTGATGAGCCATTGCCATGGCATTGCAGAGACATCAAAAAGTTTTGAAGATTTCGAAATAGAGAAAAAGCTTAAGCTTATCAACAAACCTGCTGTTAAAATCATAAAGGTTTATATCTTCTCACCATATCTTCTAACCATACATATATAGAGCAAGAACTAATTAAGCTTATTCTAAAAATCATTTGTTTTAATTCACAGTCAATTTCGGGTGAACGGTATGGGTGTGTGGATTTCTACAAACAACCAGGACTTGATCACTCATCTATGAAGAACCATACATTTACCTATAAGGTACTTTCTCTAATAATATGAAATTTGTTTTTAATTTTATTAGAGCACTATTTATACTGGAAGTAAAGAAAACAAAAAGAGAAGTTATACTCTATGTCAAAATATAGATGGTACTTATAAATTGACAATTATGTAAGTTATATATATATTTTGATTATTTCATGTATTTAAATGTTAACGTAAGTAATTTTTGAGTTATATATATACTAGAGATTATAATCTAAGATGTAAAATTAAATCATAAACTGCACTTTGATTAGAACAAGCTAGAGATATATCAAAAGTTCCTTGATTTCTAATATAATTACCTTATTCTTTTTTTGGTAGGTTATTTTAAGAAATTTAAGAAAACTTATAATTATTTTTGACTAATTTATGAATTTATATTTTGATTTTGATGTGTAGATGTGTTTGATGTCATACCCTGAAGGCTCAAAAATGAAAAGAAAAACACATACAAGTAACAAAACATTTGGTCACTTATGGGAAAATGGTATAGGCTGTCCTGTTGGTACAGTTCCTATACTTCGAGTCACCAAAAATGCTCTGTTGAAACTAAAATCCTTCATTGCCAACAATTCTAATCCGCAAAGTTCATGGAGCAAAACCTATGAACCTGCGTCTTCTAACGATGGTCATCATGTAAGTGCTTTATATAAAATTTAACTATTCAAACGACCAATATATAAGATGAACAATACATGAGTTAGGCCATATCCCCATATATTTTTTTCTAAATCATTGTATTCAGTTTGCTGTGATCCGGACTAAAGGTAAACCAAAACGTTATACTGGAGCGTCTATGAATGTTGCAACATACACTCCTTTGGTTGGACCTATGCAATTCAGTGATGCTCGAATGCACTTTCAAATCGGCAATGAGTTCATGCAAGTTGGTTGGACTGTAAGTAAATTTATTTAGATCCACTTTTCATACTCTATGTACTATATATGGTGTATCGATATGAATCACACTATTTGTTTCATTTTAGGTAAACCCGCAATTGTACCATGACTTCAACTCTCGGCTATTCGTATTCACGAGCGTGAGCGGGATAGATCTTTTTTATAAAGTTTTATACCATATGCACGAATTATGCTTAATTAAATTAATAGTGATATATTCAACAAAAAAAAAGATTAATAGTGATATGTTATATGGTTTTATTCAGTCGGGTGGACGTGGGTGTTATCATCTCCTTTGTCCGAATGGATTTGGAATGATATTAGTCCGTCAAGATTTTACTCCCGGTCTACTTGCTGGGCAAGGAGACATTGATTTTGCCATAATCAAGGTCACTTCTTTGCTTGGTCGTTTTTATAAGGAGTCTGGTAAACGTAGCCATGACAATATTTTGTCTATAAAATTTAGAGTTTATTTTGAAGTGGTTTTTGTTTAATATTACAGGATCAAATCAACGGGAACTGGTGGCTGATGATGGGCAGCTCCTGGGAAGAAATTGGGTTCTGGCCATCAAACAGGTTCAAAGAAAGTTATGGTACATCAATAGAATGGGGTGGTGAAGTCTATAGCCCTTCACTTCCAAGTCCACCAATGGGGAATGGTCATTATCCGAAGGGAAGTCCCAAAGTAGACTCATATATCCGCCTGATCACGACCGTGGATGAAAACTATAAAACCGACAAATCTGTAGAAAATACAGAGAGGTATTCAGATCATTGTTATAAAGTGACTGATACTCTAGAGTCGTTTTGGACACATACAGGTCATCTTATTCTTTATGGAGGACCCGGGTGCAAATAGACTTCGATTGTGCTCATCCTTATTTCGAAACTGTAATAACTTAAATTGGTCGAAATAAATCAATAAATCCATTGCTTCCAATGATACTGTACAAACATCCCACGTTGTGCACTTCAAACTTATGAAAGTGTTTTGCTACTTTCAAGATTTTTCTCCACATTTATGATCTCATACTTGTATTTTATTTTATTGCATGTCCAGAATGATCTTGGTTTCGAAGAGTGAACTCAAGATCCATGCAACCCCATGAGTGAAACGACACAATTTTCTGATTTGCAATCCTCAAAATCAGAAGCCTAACGAACTCTAGTGATGTGTGTACACTCAGACTCGATAACTAGTGAAGAGAAGAAGTTGTGGAGAATTGTTATCTTTTTTTTTTCTATTATTCTTCTTCATATGAATGAGAGCCAAGACTCCTTTTTTATAGTCTACATAAGACTTGGAGACTAGGATGCACATAAATGTCTTTTCTAGGAGAGAGGATATTTACTACCATGAGTCTCATGATCAATACTCATAGGTTACACATGTCCAATTTATTTTGTCATTAACAAAAATGTTGACAAAACCACATTAATAGAGAAAAAAATCGTGTTTGAATAAAACAAGTCAACACCCCAACTCACAAACCCAAATGCAGCCCATGTGTAGTTGGATTTTTTCCTCTAACATAAAAAAATAACCAATTTGACATTTAGTCAAAATCTTTAGCATTTCAGGTTAACAATTTTGGGAGTGTCGAAAGCTCCAAGAGGTTCTTCTAGTTGTGGCTCACGTCATGGTTGAGAGTTGTCATCTATCGGTGCTTGGTTGAACTAACTAGTATCTGTAGATGATTGGTACTGATCGGTGGTATCATAGCACATATCGGTTATTGTTGTTAGATATCACCAATCCATGCAAGGATATCACTGATTGGCCTTACGTTATGATCTTGCTGGTGCAAGTGTTCTACAATCTCAACATATATAGTTCTCTATCCTCTTTTGATTTAACTTCAATGTATAAAGAAGCTCCAACCCCATACCCAATTTCATAAGATCTTATGAAAAATTATGATGTTAGCTGGATTGTTGGTTTAATACAATTGGTTTGATTGGATTGTTTTGTTGAGTCTTCCGTTGATTATTTTTTGGGTTGGCTTGGTTCAATTTGGATTTTCCTGGTTTCATTGGTTTAATCCGGAATTACTTGGCTAGTTGGGTTAATCTGGAATGATTGATGAATGCATGATATACATATATGGGTTATCTGAATAGAGAAGTGAACATGACCAAAAGTTGTGTGGGTTTGATGAAACAAAGTAATCAAAATCTGACCATATATATGAGTTCCCCAATTTTTTATATGGTAGATTAATCATGAAAGTATGTGATGGGATACCCTTAATAGTAATTTGTAGGATAATTTGTTCATATATATTTTTAACGTAATAAGCAAACCCAAATAAAAACCTAAAAGAGAAAAGAAATAGACATATCAATACCCTCACTAGTAAACATAGAGAAAGATCAGTAACCAAAAAATGCTTTTATCCTCTTTCATTTCTTTTGTATGCAAGCAATGTAAGAATGTAGTGCAGTAGTATCTATAGTCTCAACTTAGAGAAGAAAATGTATCAATTCTATCCACTGTTGGAGCACAAATTGGAATAAGGTGATTGTAGCAATCAAATTAAATTTAGTGCAAGGCCTCAAAAACTATTAGTGCCACCTAAAGCAAAAAATAATTTAATCTGCTAACAAAATCAGTCAAAAATAATATAAAGAATAACAATTAAGTTAGAAACAATAATCACTTTGGCGGATGATAATAGAAGACTTGACCGCTACACCACCTCAATATTATTTGATGTTCCTAAAGTATTAATAACCTTCGGATGCCTACATCTACTGTTGCACGGGGTTTAGTCATGCCCCCATGTAATACATCTACTGTTGCACGGGCTTTAGTCATGCCCCCATGTAATATCTTTATACATATCACATATAGACTGATAAATGAAACAATCTTGATGCACCATCTGGATGTTTCAGGGGGGGGGGGATACTCTCGATTAATGTTTACAAGTTACATGAAATCAAATGAGGACTATGTTGACTCCATACATAGATAATTTCACTATCATGGTATAACGAATTTGGATAAATGGGTCACCGATATCCCAGATAAGTTGTCAACGTGCATTCCCGAGTGGTATTAAATTATATTATATATTGGACTAAATATAACTGTAGGTTATTTAATTTGAGTTATGTTTGATATATATTACAAAACTAAACACAACCAACATATACTAACATAAATAAAAATCCTTAATAAGCTAATAAACTATATATTCAATTATACAAAAAAAAATAACATAAATTTACCAGTTCATGGCACAAGTTCTTACCTAGTTACTTTAAAAAATGCACTTAAAAATGTTAACACATGCTAGTGAACCAAAAAATATATATATATATGATACTCAATTTTTAATTAGTTCTTTTTTCTTGATGTACTACTACAAGTCTCCTACTAGTCACATCCTATTTATAGAAAAAATCATTGATGTACTACTACAAGTCTCCTACTAGTAACATCCTATTTATAGAAAAAATCATTTTAGCTATAAATGAGACAAAAAGAATTACACAAAAGAAGTTCTCTTTTGACAGTAGATTCTCTAACTATCATAAATAGAGAAATACAATATAGAAATTGTATAATCATTTTGACATACATAATCATGATTTGTTAAGGAATTCATTCAAGACTACAAACATCAAGAGGTTTACCTATGGTGTATTGACATTAAGAAAGAGCAAACAAAGCTTGTATAAAACATGATATGAATTTTATACTTGTAATGGATCCATATTTTCCTAGAACAAATCATATTGCCAAGGCTGCAAACTGGGATTCAGGTTCTTGTGTGACATTTGGTTGATACTTGTTGTGTCGGTTTTGTTGTATCGGTTGCACTATTTTTTTGTTCTGTTGTGGTTGTTGTTGGCGTCGTTGAAGCTGTAGATTCCCTATCTCTCTCTCAAGAAATTGTTGCTCCACTGTATTAACATTCAAAATTATAATTTCAAAATGAAAATATATATGCATTTTTATACTCTAATAGTGGTTAGAGTATAAATTACCATGTTTAAGCTTTTGGATTTCTGCTAAACTATCCATACGTTGTTTTAAAGCTCTATTTTCCATGCTAAGCATGATTAGCTGCTGATCGAAGTAGTGAATGGCGGATGACATTTCACATCCTTCAACCTATTGCAAGAAATTAACCCAAGTGTATAATATATCTAATTCTTATCATTAGGGAGCTCTTGATATTATTAAATCTTACTTGTAGTACTTGGATGGTCCTTTCGAGATCTGATATGTACTCCAGCCTTCTTAGACGTGCCCGATGAGCATTTTGACTGTCGTTTTAAAATGATTTTTGAGATAAATAAAATGGTATTATCATGTTAAACTGCATCTACAAGATGTTCAAACAATATATAAGTCATGCATTAAAAAATTAAAGCACTTACTGTTTAATACGTTTAGTGTCAGCCTTTGATCCAGGACCATCCGGTTTTGTGGAATTAGTCCCTTCTTTCATTTTTCCTGTATTCATGGATTTTGGAGTTGAGGTACCTAATCTTTTTACAACTCCATATGACATATGTGTTTGGAGATTAGATCCATTGTGTTTTTCATAAGGGTTAGACTGCCACAAATCATAGTTCTGAAATTGCCAAGAAGGGCCAGAAACATGATTTTTCATAAGCTCATCTTCCTTAAAAGGCATTATAGATGAGTTCAAGTAAGCAGCTGTGTCACTAGCTGAACGTCTATGGCCTTTGTTAATCTTAGGTGATGCTGGCTCATTTAAAAGCTCATCGAGCCAAGCTGGTTGTTCCTCTATGAGAAGATCATCAAAAGAAGCACTGTGGTGATGATGCATATTGTTCATACGAGGAATGTTTTTTCCTAAGTCTTTATGTGGAACTCGTGATTGTCTTCCTATGAATCCGTAATTTCCCGTGTTTGACAACCTGTTTGAATCTTCCATTCTTCAAAACCTAGAAAGACATGAGCAAAACATGATTAAGAAACCAATCAAATGTGTTTTAATATTTAGCAGTTTAATCAATAAAAACCAAACATATAGTTCTCCTAATTACCTGAATAGACAAGACTTAGGAGGCGTGCGATTATCAAACCTTCCACAAGGAGAAAAATGGCATCTCTCGCGATGGAATCTCCTCCCTTGTGGTTGGTTTCAATCACCTCCTTCCTCCTTAGAATACAAAAAAAATTAATGAACAATCTCTTGATCACTAAATAGTGGAAGATATCATACAAAAACAATCCATGTTAGTGGTTGCCATAGCGTGCTTTTCGTGAAAGCAACTATTCTTGTGATTTGCTATATTTGGTTTATTATTGTATGTTATTTATGCATTTTCTTTTTCCCATAATAGATTCAGACATTGCTTTATTATTATGGTCTACAATACTACATAAGATAAATCTTCCATTTTACATTTATGAAATCTGAATAGTAAACGTAGTAAGATATGTTTTACATTAAAAAAAAAAGCAATTGGGGATAATTCCTAACAATAAGATGTTATTGTGTACCATAATAATAAATGGCCCTTAACAGTATTACTTTCATCTATATAGACTATATTAACATTTTTACAGCATTTTTGAAAAAAAAACTTTGGAGTTGGAAGTTATTTACAAGGCTATGCCACTATAATTTATTATTTAGTTAAAATTTTAAAACCTAATAATAATCATTTTTACCAAAATCCCTATAATCTCTCCCTAATAAATATAATACCATTTCTTATTTTCCACCTTTTTCTCAAATATTTCTCCAAAATATTTATATGATCTTATTTGTTATTAATTTATTTTATTACAGATTACATATGTATAATAAAAATACAAAAATATTTTCAACATATATTGCAATTTGAACTTTTTCAAACGGATGTATATTACAAATTGTTTTTGCGTATGTACAACATCCCATATAGAGTATATTTTTTTTTTGAAAATGGTTCAGAATCTTTATAAATAAGATTATAACCTTCCAACTACAATGACGGGACTATTAACATGGATTTAATTTTTTGGGGATTATATAACGGGACAGGTTGTAAGACGGGAAGGGTTATTAACTACATATAAAACTTAGAATATTTAAAATACTTTGAATCTTTTAAAAATTTCAGTGTTATTAATATTTTATCTATACACCAAGCTTATACTAAAATATTATTGACTTTGCCATTTTTTTAAACATGGGTTTATTTTATGGCGATTATATGACATGACGGAGTATAAGACGAGAAAATTTGTAATATGATTCCAACATATTACATGACTGGACGGGTTGTAAAACATAACGAGTTTAAGTTGATATTACTAAAATATTATTAATCTCACTTTTCAATACGTGGTCATTTTACAATTTTTTAACAACACCGATATAAAACATGTATAATAAATTGATTTGGTAAAGATTATGCAATCTTAATAATTATTAAATAAACTCCAACAAAATCTATCAATTTTTAAAAACACGAATTAAAAAGAAACTGTTTATCTCGCGCCGCATGTTAAAATCTAGTTGATCATTATTTTCTTGTATTAATGGTCATTTACTCTCATTTATTGTGTTACAAGCCATTTATTGAGTGATCATAAAAAAAATGAAAGTTTTATTATAGTTTTAACTACAAATGTGATTGTGAGTTGGAATATCTAAAGAGATAAATTTGTTAGTTTATGTACTTTTATTAGATGTCAAACAAAATAAGTTAGTTCATTTTGGATTAGAAAAGATGAGGAATTATGGGTACACATGGTGAATAAGTATATAAGAAGATTTGATATGATATGATTAATATTTCAATAATTGTTTTTTTTTTAAATGGATAAATTGAATACTGAAGTTGGTCTGGGAAGTTCGAAACATAAAATTTACTATTTGGTACAGTCTCAAAATTTTACTACATTGGATGAAATACAGTACTTAGGGTAATGCATAAACCTACTAACAACAAACGGAAGAGAACGATTAAAACAAAAATCCGTACACACATATAGTTTGAGTTAACCAAAATATTCGACCAAAACTAAAACAAATCCGATCTTTTAAAGAATTAGAAATTGATCAAAACAAAAGACGAAATATCACACACAAACCTCATTGTTATGTTTCTTTGAATTTGCCATTTAAGGACAAATAGCTAAAGTTTGTAATTTTTTGTAATGTTTTATTAAAAATACACATAAAATGTACTCCCTCTTTTTCATTATAAGTGATGTTTAAGGTAAAGTATACTAAATAATAAAACATATAACTTACCTATTTTCCATAAGAATATCATTAACTAATATGAATTCAACCAATAAGAAAATATGATGTAAAATATAATTGGTAAAAAAAGATTAAATAAATTAAATTTTTGCATAGGAAATTGAGAACATCACTTATATTGAAACAAATAAAATTGCCTAAAACATCACTTATAATAAAACAGAGAGATTATAAACTAGTAGTCGTAAGTAATCAGTATAATTTTGTGAATTTTTTATATCAAAATATACATAATAATGAACCATAAATATATTGAGACAACTTTTAGTAATTATTAGTGTATTATAAATTTATAATGTTATGAAATGTTTTTATTAAAATATACATAAAAATATATAAACAAGTCTTTAATTTAACAAATGCCGAAACTAAAGGATCAAATTAAATCCCAGAGAAGAAGAAATCTCAACAAAGTTCTAATTCAGTGTTCGTTCCTAAGACTCCCAAAAACCCCAAATCATCTCGAATTTGCTAAATTCTAGGGCTTTCTCTCTGTGATCGAATTAATGAGCTCTTCACCATCGCCGGCGAATTCCGCCACCGCTTCCGCGAACGGCGGCGATACAGCCACAGCCAACGCCGGGAACGGTCAAGATCTGAACTTACACTTCTTGGAGAAGATTCGTCTGGCCGCAAATCGAGATGCGAAGGAAGACGAAGGTGAAGATTCGCCGACGGAGTTGAACACGGTCAATAGCGCCGGCGGGTTTCTTGTGGTTTCTCCTGATAAGCTTTCGGTTAAGTACACGAATATGAATCTACATGGGCACGACGTTGGTGTTGTTCAAGCGAATAAGCCTGCTCCGTTCAAGTGTCTCACTTACTACTTTGAGATTTTTGTTAAAGATTCTGGGATTAAAGGGCAAGTTGCGATTGGTTTTACTAAGGAGAGTTTCAAAATGAGGAGACAACCTGGGTAATTGTTTTCTTTGATCTTGGAAATTTTGGATCCAGTTTGTGTTGAGTTTGGCTGTGTAGGAGTGGTTTAGGGAACAATCTTATTTGGAAACTTGATTCAAGAAACATAGTTTTAGTTCCTAGCTTGATCGTTACTGTGTATAAGGTATGGTTTAACATAGAAATTAAGGTTATGTGGCTGTGTTATTTATTGGTTTCACTAAGCAGATCTTCCAAATGATGGGTATAGTTTCATGCTGTTGAGTTACGTTCTGTAGGGGTGGTTTAGGGAAGAAGCATAAATTTAGATTCTTGTTACATTTTGGATATGGTTTACCATAGAATTTGAGGTTATCTGGCTGTCTTTTTTATTGGTTTCACTAAATGACTGGTATAGTTTTCTTACGGATATATCCTGTTAGCGTTAGATATCTTACACTTCTTGGGTGAGACTTCGTAACTTGCGTTCTGTAGGAGTGGTTTAGGGAAGAGTCTGAATTCAAAGTACATTGCTTTGTGGCTCTTGAAACCTAGATTCTTGATTTATTACGAAAAAGGATGATAGTGCCTTTGGAAGAAGTTAAAGCATAATTTAAGTTGTTGTTACATTTTGGATATGGCTTAACCATAGAATTTGAGGTTATGTGGCAGTCTGATTTATTGTTTATTTGATAATGGTACAGATGGGAAGTGAACAGCTGTGGCTATCATGGGGATGATGGACATCTATATCGTGGACAGGGAAAAGGTGAACCTTTTGGTCCAAAGTATACCAAAGATGATACAGTTGGTGGTGGTATAAACTACGCTACGCAAGAGTTCTTTTTCACGTAAGATAGAAACTATTTCATGCGTTTTGCTACTTGAATAAGTTCTATTACCTTAAATTCATGATTCGTCCTTTCACTTTGGTTTTCTTTGTTTGCATCCGCTTTGTGTGTTGAACCTGATGACATTTTTGATTACTCATTTGATGCCAGTAAAAACGGAGCTATTGTTGGGAAAATCCCTAAGGACATAAAAGGTCATCTATTCCCTACTGTAGCTGTACATAGCCAAAATGAGGAGTATGTTCTCACTCTATCTTTGATGATCAGTACCAATGCCATTGTGTATCTTCTCTGTTGACTGCTTACATTTTGAGTTCCATAGCGTCACCTCAAAGTTGTAAAAACAGGTTCAGTAGAAGTACTTACACAATGCATTTGTTCGGATGTTTTGGCAGGGTATTAGTCAATTTTGGGAAGAAGAAATTTGCTTTCGATATTAAGGTAAGAGGGAAAAGATGGTATTAGGTCCTGTAGTGAAACTGGAATGTATATAAAAGTGGGATGATGTAACCAGGAGTACAGATTTTGAAATTTGAAAGGACATAATTGGTATGCCTCATGTCCGTTCTTGGTACTGGGGTTACAGAATCAATGGCAGTGGTTCTCTTTGTACACATTGCGCTCGCATTTGCTATTTTAGTGTACCCTCTATTGTTTTGTTCTTGTGTAGTCAGACCTCAACCACTTAGGCCCTCAAGTTATAATCTTTAAATACTGAAGTAGGACACAAAAGTTTATGTCTTTTCTCCCCAGATTACATATATGCTTCTATCCTCTTTTTGTTTCATTAGGGATATGAAGCATCAGAGAGGAATAAGCAACAAATGGCTATCGAAAAAATATCCATACTTCCAAATATTGGTTATGGGTGAGTACAGCCCTTTCCAGCAGTACCAGATCATGTCCTTTGTTAACTGAATTGCATACTCTGTTATCTAAAGTTTTTTTTTCTTTATCATTAGGCTTGTAAAGACCTATCTGCTACACTACGGGTATGAGGAGACACTCAATGCTTTCAACCTTGCTACTAAAACAACAGTTCCTCCAATCAATATAGATCAAGGAATTGCTACTGATGAAGATGATTCATCATATGCTTTGAAACGGAGAAAGACACTTAGACAGGTATTGAACTTGTATCTCACTAGCTATGGTTTAACTGATATGTGCCTGTTCTTTAGCCAAGATGTTAACATATAAGACATGATATCCTCTAAGTTTACTATGCTTACGCGTTTTGCCTTTTTTGATCCTATTCAAACCCAAACTAAATTACTGCTTTGTTTGGTTATTTTTGACTGATCCATACTTGCTTTGGTACAGCTTGTTGGGAATGGTGAGGTTCATGCTGCTATAACTAAACTCCGGGAGTGGTATCCCCAAACTGTACAGGTGAAATTAGATTTCCTGTCATATAGCTTTTTTTATATTGCTAAGATGTGCCACTTCAAGGATTGATCACCCCATCCGTACTTACTGCAGGATGATAAATCGGTGGTTTGTTTCCTCCTGCACTGTCAACATTTTATTGAATTAGTACGGGTATGCTCTTTGCACTCCTTATCCAGTTAGATTTCTTTAATGCTTGTCAGAGATAGATCGTTGTTGTGACAGTCTTGGTTGTATTAACTAAAGAAAAAGAGTTCAAAGAATCTCCTGCACCTTTTAGATTATTTAGAAATATTACTGTGGAAGAATCTATAACCCACTGGAAAAGTTGTTACATAGATACTTTAATACTTTATTAGCGTTGATAGAACAATGTGCAAAATCAAACACCTAGATATACTTCTGCTCTCACTTTCAAATTGGTGGTGGGGCTATTTCTCTAATTCTGGTTTTGGCATAAACAGGTTGGGAAACTTGAAGAAGGTGTGCAGTATGGCAGACTCGAGTTAGCTAAATTTGTTGGGTTAACCGGGTTTCAAGATATAATCGAGGTAACTATAACTCCTCCAACTTTATTACTTGTCACTCTAATCTAGTTCAAAAACAGAGAGATTCTATGTTGCTGATCTCATATGAACTCGACTTTCTTGTTGATTATTCAGGACTGCTTTGCTTTGCTAGTGTATGAAAAGCCCGAGGAATCACCGGTTGGGTATTTCCTAGAAGACTCGCATAAGGAACTAGTGGCTGATGCCGTGAATGCAGCGATACTATCAACAAATCCAAATAAGAGAGATGTTCAGAAAAGCTGTCACTTGCATTCCCATCTGGAGAAACTGCTAAGACAATTAACCGTCTGCTGTCTAGAAAGGCGATCGCTGAATGGAGACCAAGGCGAAACATTCCGGCTTCACCATGTTCTTAACAACAACAGTACAAGAAGATGAAATCGGGTTAGCCCGGGGCATATATTTTGGAAAACTCTGTTTTTTGTTTGGCTGTTGTCATCATAATTGGCTTTTGTTCATACTTGTGTGTCATATTATGTTGAACTTTCCCATTCTGTAATAAAAGGAAAAAAGTTAAAAATGAAAAAGAAAGGTTCCACTTGCATTTTTTTGGTTCAAATTAACTATTTTTTCTTTCATCATTCATGATTCTACTGTTTGGAAGAAATGTCTCGTGTAAATTTAAGAACAAGCTTTTGTAGATGACTTCGTAGTTCGTACGACCATTTTCATTGCTATAAATCCTAGCTCACAAAAAAAAATAAAAAAAAAATAAAACCACAGCTAAGTTTAAAACTCTTCTTTAATCTATACTAGGTAACGTCCCGGTTATTGTATAATAAGATAAAATAATTAATTTGGATTTATTTACTAATTACAAAACAGAATAAATTAAATAAATTCCTACACTTAAATTATTCAAATCATACAATATAATCATGGGATTTGCACAATTAACATTTTTATGATATTTTTTTCAACAAATACTCTCTCTCTAAATATCCATTTTCAAAAATACCCTCTTCAATGTACAAAATGACTAATTTACTCTCCTTTATTATAACTCATGATGAAGAAATGAATATTCTTTCCAACAAAAAAAAATATTCCTTCCAACAAATTTCCCGCCAAATGTTCCCGCAAAAAAATTCCGACAAAAATCTTCCCGCCAAAAATTTCAGACAAATTTTTTTATTTAAGTTTTTCCATAAACTAACACATAATGGTAAAAATAATACCCTCTCTAGGTAAAACAATAATATTATTAATGGTAAAAGTGGAATTTTACGATGATATTCAAATTTTTTATTTAAGTTTTTCATAAACTAAACACATAACCTAAAGTATTTAGTAATTAAAATCTAAATTATTTTGAAATTAACAAATCATATATATATTTCCTATAAAATCATATGAAGTGCAATCAAAAGTTTTAAAAAGAAATTCCAATGAATTTCAAAAATACCCTTTTTCCAATACCGCTCTTAATTTTATCAAAAAGTCACTATGAAATTTAAAATTTATCAAAAAAATATGTGTAAGCTTATATTTATAGACACAAATTATCTTTATATGTGTGAAAATATATATATATATTTCATAAATATCGTATAAATACCTTTTAAAAACCATTTAAAAACCTTATAAAAACTTTGTAAACCTTTTAAAAACCATATAAAAACCTTATAAATGCCGTTTAGAACCTTTAAAAACCGTATAAATATTTGGATTTAGTCTCCCAGTAGTAATGATGATCTTAATGTACCTTATCAACCATATAAAAGTTTATAATTTTTCAAATTTGAAAAGGGGTATTTTTAAAAATGGATAGAAATAGGGGTATTTATAAAAGGGGGAATTTCAAAAATACCGCTTTTCCAATAACACTTTTTAAAAATACTCCTCTTTCTAATTTTATCAAAAAAATCACTATAAATTTTGAAATTTATCAAAAAACTATGCGTAAGCTTATATTTAAAGACATAAATTATCTTTATATGTGTGTAAATTTACATATATATTTCATAAATACCGTATAAATACCTTTTAAAAATCATTTAGAAACCTTATAAACACTTTGTAAACCTTTTAAAAACCTTATAAAAACCTTATAAATGCCGTTTATAACCTTTTAAAACCTTATAAATATTTCGATTTAGTCTCCTAGTAGTAATGATGATCTTGATGTACCTTATCAACCATATAAAAGTTTATAATTTTTGATATTTGAAAAGGGGTATTCTTGAAAATGGATAAAAAAGAGGGGTATTTTTAAAAAGGGGTAGACCAAAATGGGCATTTCTCAAAAATTCTCTTTATAAAAAGGAGTACACCAAAAGGGGCATTTCTCAAATAAATAATTTTATTTTTTAATTTTTTTTATATTCCTCTTAATTTAAGTTATACCGCTAGGTTTGATTATAAATTTTAGTTCTTGTAGTATAATAGATAGAAAATTGAATATCAAACTGTTTTTAGATAGAAAATCATTTATAAAATCTAAAGTTACTAAAATTTATAATGATTTTAATATTATTAAATGTTGAATCCCAAACTAAATATAATGATCATTATTTTTAAGATGTCAAAGAGCCAGTATTTTTAACGCGGTTTCAACATTGCACTTCAGTCTTGGGCAATGTTTCCTGTGAAGCAATTCCAATAAAAATTTTGGTTAACTTTTTCTTAACTTTCTCCTACTTCGAAAAAATTGTAATACATTCTTTTTTAGAATAATGATCATTATATTTTGTTTGGGATTCAACATTTAATAATATTAAAATCATTATAAATTTTAGTAACTTTAAATTTTATAAATGATTTTCTATCTATTATACTACAAGGATGAAAAGATTATAATTAAACCTAGAGATATAACTTAAATTAAGAGGAATATAAAAAGAGATTAAAAATAAAATTATTCTTTGGAATATTTTTTTAAAAAACTTTTGATTGCAATTCTTATGATTTATAGGAAATATAGATGATTTGTTACTTTCAAAATAATATAGATTTTAATTACTAAATACTTTATGTTATTTGTTAGTTTATGAAATACTTAAATAAAACATTTGAATATCATGTTAAAATTCTATTTTTAGCATTAATAATATTATTGTCTTACCTAAAAATACTCAAAAATATTGAAGCAAATTACTATCAAATTGAAAAATAAATAAACTGTAAATTTCAAGAAATATGTTTGTATGATTGTAGAGAATTTTTTAGAAATACCCCTTTTGCTGTACCCTTTTCAAAAATACCCCATTTATCTATCATTTTTCAAAAATACCCCTGTTTATTTTTATTTTTTTTTGTCATCATTACAAATTATACGTCTCTCTCTGAGAGGGACCGGACTCGAACCCGGATCTGGTGAGAAGGCAACAGAGGTGAGAACCACTAGCCCACTTGTCCTTCTCAAAAATACCCCTGTTTAAATATGAAAAATTATAAAGTTTTATATGGTTTATAAGATACTTCTATATAATAACTACTATTGGGGTATTTGGTACAAATAATTTATAATGTTTTAAATTGTTTTTACAAGTTTAAAAAGGTTCGTAAAATATTTTTAAAATGGTTTATAAGTTTTAAAAAAAGTTTTTATAAGTTATGTTTACGTTATTTATGAAAGATGTATAAATTTTATACACATATAATGGTAATTTGTGTGTATATTTATAAGCTTACACTTATTTGGATAAATTTCAACATTTTAGTGGTTTTTTTATAAAGTTTGAAAAAGTATTTTTAAAATGTGGTATTTGAAAAGAGGTATTTTTGAAATTCCCCATGATTATATTGTATAATTAAAATAAATAAAGTGAAAAAAAATTATCGACATTGAAATTTATTTAATTTATTGTTTTTTATAATTAGTAAATAAATCTAAATTAATTAACTTTTCTTATTATACAATAACCCGCACATATGCGCCGTACATTACCTAGTCATACATATAAAAGTATGGATTCACTCTCTCCTTATTGCTCCATTTGGTATTTCATTTTTAAAAATATAATATTTATTTTTAATTAAACCAAATAATACATTTAATCATATACATTAATTCATACTTTAAATCCACACTTTACTACTAAAATGTAACTGAAAATTATATAAATTTTCAATTGACTATTGGTTTTCTTTATTGAATTTCAATTAAACACACTATAAATTATATGATATTCAAATGTTTTATTTTAGGTTTTTATAAACTAATACATAACCTAAAGTATTTAGTAATTAAAAGTAACATGTTATCTATATTTCCTATAAAATCATATGCAACCAAAAGTTTGAATTTTTATTTTATTTTTCATCTCTTTTAATATTCCACTCAATTTAAGTTATATCTCTAATTGGATAATCATTAATTATGTTATTCATTTATATTAAATATTTTATAGTTATGGTAATAAAATCTTGATTTTTCAGATCTTCACCAACAACTGCACTTCCCATATATTTTGATTATGGTTATGTAAATTTTTGGTATGTATGATTTTGATATTAATTACAAAAAGATGAAATCTATCTTAACATTTTTGAAGTACATTTTGTACTAAAATCTATTTTGGCTTATAACCTTTTATTTTGTAATATTTGCATAATCAAACTCTTGCCATTTGAATAAATAACAAAACTTAAAAGTAAATTTGGTAATTAAATCACAAGCAAATCCCAAAATTGGAAACCAAATATTTATTACATCAAAAAATTTCCTAAAATCCCTCTTTAATAAACCGAATCTCTCTCCAATATATTTATATAATCTTATTGTTTTAAATTTATATTATTACATAAAATATATTTATAATAAAAAACAAATTCTTTTCCACACATTTTGCAATTTAAATTTTTGAAAACGGACGTAGTTGACTAAATCAATAAAGAAAAAAATATATGTACAACATCTACATAAGATAGAAAATTTTAGATAATAGTTCAAACCCGTTATAAATAAAACTAATATGTTTACAACTAAAAATGAGCATGAACTTTGATTTCTCAAGTATCCAAACTAAAATTTTTATTAGCTTAATCCGGTTCTTTAATTAAAGAAAATAAAATTTTTAAAAAGTTTCAGAAAATTATAAATTTTATTTTTTTAACAAGTTTAAAATGTGATAAATATTAAAACTTTAAAAAGCTGAAAATTATGATATTTTATTTAAGTTTTATAGAATATTAAAATAATGAAAAATATTTAAACTCTACAAAAACAAAAATTATTATTAATATTTTAAATCTACAAATATTTAAAATATAATAATATTGTACATAAATATTATTATATTTTCTGCGGGTTGTCTATATTTAAAATCTTTTACTGGTTAAGTTAAAATATAATTTTTTTTACAACAAAATTGTGTCGCGATGTACCGCGGGTTTACCACATATATCTATGAATCTACTTATAATACAAATTTATAAAATTGTATTAAATTAAATGAAATAAACATATACAAAACTAAATTATATAAACCAACTACGAAAATGAACATCAAAGATATATATATTAAATTATGGACCCGTGGTGTACCACGGGATAAATCCTAGTGTTAATATTAATTATACTACAATAATCAATTAATTATTTTAA